GCGGTGCGGCGAGGTCGGGGAGGGAGCGGGGCGGCGAGGTCGGGGCCGGGCGCAATGAGCGGGGGGGGGGCACGGCGAGCGAGGGACCGGGCGCAGCGCGGCGAGATCGGTCCGGCAACCTTGCGTGTCCGCTTTTTGTCTTAGCGTTGGGTTCATCCACCGGCAGCCCATGTCCGCCTCACGTCCGCCTAGCGGACAAAATATGGACAAAATTCGTGTCCGTTTGGGTCACTGTGTTGGAGTTGCTCTAATAAACCTATAAACATTGGCGATCTTCTCTAATTTCATTGATGGAAAATAGGGTTTGGAGGAGGCGGGGCGACACCACGCCTCCACCGCCGCCGCCACTGGCTACCATCGCCAATGAGGCTGGCCTTTGCTCCGTGCGTGGACGCCGTCCACGACGCGTATATGTTGCAGCTCCGTCCGCCCGTGCGGCCCCGTCCGCCCCTGCGGCTACGTCCGCCCGTGCGGCCCCATCCGCCATGCTTGATGCTTCGTCAGACCTTCTGGTCATGGACATCCCAGCGGTTGTGCCTGGCGTGCCCATGGAGGGAGGCCGCCGTGCTGATGACCTGAACCTCGGAGGGAACCGACGCAGCAGGCCCCGGCCGGTAGCCATGCAGTTTGATCCCGGTGGAATCAGGAATCCTAGGGGTGTTTCGCCTACTCGTCGGGTTTGGAGCAGCGACGCACACGACAGTCTGGCTGCAATATCGCATCCTTCAATTCACATGAGGGCTGGCCCAGCGACTATCCCGGTGATCCTTGCTGGCGGTGGGGGTGAACAAGGGGCATTCGTTGAGGAAGCCACCCGCCCGAAGCCGTCCAGCCTGTATGCCAGGGAGACGATGGGGCAGGAGTCACCATTGAGGGCCTCGACTATTGCAGTCACGAGAGACATCCGACGATCTCCGATGCCGGCGCCGCTGGCGACACAAGTGCCTCGAACAGAAATTTTGGAAAACCATGTTAGCAACTTGAATCTTCTGAGCTGGAATTGCCGAGGGTGTGGAAATTCTCGTACAATACGGGATCTTGTGAGCTTGGTGCAGGTTCATTCTCCTACTATCGTCTTTCTTTGTGAAACTAGGCAAAGGAAAGATAAGATGAAAAGATATCGATCCCGCTTAGGTCTAAGTGGTTTCGAAGCAGTCAATAGCAATGGTCTTAGTGGTGGCTTAGCTCTTTTCTGGCATGAATCGGTACAACTGGATGTAAAAGATATGAATGAACGATATATTGATGCCTATGTGAGTGCTGCGACGGGGGAGCCACCTTGGCGGCTTACCTGCGTCTATGGAGAACCGCGGACGGAGGACCGACATCGCATGTGGTCCATCCTCCGAGACTCCACCGCCAAGCCGACATGCCGTGGGTGGTGGTCGGAGACTTCAACGAGGCTATGTGGAGCTTCGAACACTTCTCCGAATCACCGCAGCCGGCAGGTCAGATGATTGATTTTCGTGATGCTCTGGAAGTTTGTGGATTGGGTGATCTTGGTTTTGCAGGGCTGCCTTTCACTTATGACAATCGTCGTGGAGGAGGGGCGAATGTCAAAGTCAGACTGGACCGAGTTGTTGCAAATAATTCTTGGTGTGACATCTTTACACATGCCAAGGTGGAACACTTCGTGATGCCTAGTTCGGACCACCTAGCTATTTTGCTTCGGTGTGTCATGGAGGACCAGCCACCGGTGTCAGGTAGGAGGTGCCGTCAGTATGAGGTAATGTGGGAGAGAGACCCGACCCTCCCGGAGGTAATAATGAATACTTGGGTTGACTTGGGGTCTATGTTGAACCTGGGGGATATAGCATCTGGTTTGGGCACTATGATGAAGAAACTGCAAGATTGGAGCCGCAAAATTTTTGGAAATGTCATTAAAGAAATAAATAAGTCCCGCTCACGTCTGGAAGAGCTTTTGTCGATGAATGCAGATAGGAAGGATATCCGAGAGGCTACTGATAAGATGAACGAACTGTTGTACCGGGAGGAGATGCTCTGGATGCAGCGGTCTCGTGTTGCCTGGTTACGTGAAGGGGACCAGAACACAAAATTCTTCCACCGGAAAGCAGTATGGCGCGCTCGAAAAAACCGCATAAAATCACTTGTGGATGATACAGGCACAACACATCGGAGCCATGCAGCTATGGCTGAGTTGGTCACGTCCTACTTTTCTAATCTGTTCAAGGCAGATAGTACCCTTTGTGTGGATCCAGTGATTAATTTAATTAACACACGCGTTACTGATCAAATGAATGATGGTCTGTGTGCAGAGTTCTCGGATAAGGAGATTGCGGATGCGCTCTTCCAGATTGGACCGTTGAAGGCGC